AGTTATATCTTAGAAGTAGAACTGAGTGAGCCAAGTGGGATGGATATTTACTCAAGAAAACTTCTGGGAGGAATGAGTTTTGATTTACAGAGGAGTTGTAAAGGTAGTGCAGAGAGTTCATGCGTTCCCTTCCCCTAATTTTGACATCTTACATGACCATGGTATACTTCTCAAAAATGAAGACATTAACACTGAAGACAATGCTATTAACCAAACTCCAGACTTCCCTGGGATTCTCAGGTTTATCCATTAATGTGGTATTCTGGCCCAGAATCCAATGTAGACTACCAGTCTGCAGCTAGGAACAAATACTTTAAAAACCTTCATGCGTAGTCTTAAATTTTCTCCAGAAATATAGTTTCAGTGTAATTGCGAACAGCAATATATGAACACTTCTCTCTAATCAATATTTGATATTTTCCTTTTAAGATGTATCTTTAAAATTTCATGGGTAAAAAATGGTATCTTACTGTTTTAGTTGCATTTTCAATGAATTTAAACATTCTTTCATATATTGGTCATTTGTATTTCCAAAATTTTGTGTGTCTTTCACCTATTTTTGTTTACTTTTTTAGTAGGCTCCATGCCCAATGTGGGGCTTGAACTCCCGATCCTGAGATCAAGAGTTGCATGTTCTATCCACCAACACAATCAGGAAGCCCCTCCTTATTTTTAAAACTGGGTGTTCCATTCACTGAGTTATAAATAATCTATATATTAGGAATATTAAATTTTTGTCAAGACTGATATAATTATTTTTCATGATTTGCCAACTGTCATTTTAGAACCTGAGTTTTCCCTTTTTATGTCATCAATCTACTGTGCTTTGTATTTGTGATTGAATCTATTTTTTTATTAACATATAATGTATTATCTGTCCCAGGGGTACAAGTCTGTGAATCATTGGTCTTACACAATTCACAGCACTCACCATAACACATACCCTCCCCAATGTCCATAACCCAGCCACTCTATCCCTAACTCCCAACCCTGAATCTATTTTTTTATGCTGAGAAAAGTAGCTCCCATTCCCATATCAAATGTTTCATAGATGGATACTTACACATATAGAATATATATACATTCAATATTGTTTCTGCTTTTTAGACTTAACTCTTAGATTTGGGTATATGAAAAGAGAGAAAATATGTTATTCTTTTTTAAAAAATTTTTATGTAATCAGCTTTCTTTAAGCTGTTCTCATTTTTTAAAAAGAATTAATTAATTAATTAATTAATTTGTCACAGAGACAGAGAGAGAGCACAAACAGGGGGAGCAGCAGGCAGAGGGAGAAGCAGGCTCCCAGCTGAGCAGGGAGCCTGACATGGGGCTCAATTCGAAGACCCTGGGATCATGATCCGAGCCAAAGGCAGATGCTTAACCAACTGAAAATGTGTTATTTTAATTTTCTAAATAATTAACCAATTGCCCTAACACTTTTTAAAAGTGATATTATTTCCTGTTCCTTCATGGTGTGATGTCACTTTCATATTAGAGGATATGGTTTTATTATCTCTATTCTGTTTCACTGATTCATCTGAATATTCTGATGTTAGTATAAAACTGTTTAGTGATTCATTTTTTTAAAGATTTTATTTATTTTTTTGAGAGAGAGACAGAGAGAACACAAGCAGGGGGAGGGGCAGAGAGGGAGAGGGAGAAGCAGACTTCCTGCTGAGCATGAAGCCCCCTTTGAGGCTCAACCCCAGGACCCCAAGATTATGACCTGATCTGAAGTTAGACCCTTAACCAACTGAGCCACCAGGCACCCCTAGTAATTCATTTATTTTAAAAGATAGTATTGACCCAGAAATAAAAAGCTCATATATATGGTCAAATAATTTTCAACAAGGATACCAAGACCATTCGAGAGGCAAAAGATAGGCACTTCAACAAATGGTGCTGGGGAACCTGTGTGACCACATGCAAAAGAATGAAGTTAGGCCTTACCTTACATCACATACAAAAATCGGTTCCGAATGGGTCAAAGACCTAGACAAAAAAGCTGAAACTAACTGTAACATTCTTAGAAGAAAACAGGGGGAAGTTTTGTGACACTGGATTTAACAATGATTTCTTGATAGGACACCAAAGGTATGGGCAATAGAAGAAAAAATAGACACATTAAACTTCATCAGAATTAAAAACTTGTGCATCAATATTTTTAAACTGGCAGGAGGTGGAGCAGATTGTAGGAGCTGAGAGTTTAAAGAAACGGAGTAACATAAATAATAAGGGGGGCTTGGAGGAACAGGGTGATGAGTTTAGGCAGTGTCGTGTGGTCTGCGAGAACAAAAATACCAGACTGGCTGTCCGATAAATAACAAAAATGTATTTCTTACAGTTGTGGAGGCTGGACGTCCAAGATCAGGGCAGAAGATTTGCTGAGAGCCAACTTCCTGGCCCACGGACGGCTGTCTTCACATGGCTCCTCACATGGCGGTGGGGCAAGGGAGCTGTCAGGACCCTCTTTTGTAAGGACTCTAAGACCTTCATGAGGGCTCCACCATCATGACCTAGTCACCTGCACAAGGTCCCACTCCAAACACCATCACCCTGGGATTAGGCCTGAATATATAAATTTAGGGGGGACGCACAAACATTAGGCTACAACAGGGAGTTCTCTAGAAACGCCACTTTTGAGAGGAGGTGACCTCTGAGCTATGACAGCAGGAGGAAGAGTGGGACAAGGAAAAAGCCGTCAGTGGGCTCATCTGTAGGCAAAATCCACAGGGTGAGGTATTTAAAAAAAATTCTTCTCCCAGAGCTGAGAAGTGTTAGACAAATACTCACTACTTTGCCACAGTGGGCTTCTGTAGATTCATCCGTCCCTCAAATAAGGCTGGATTTGGGTATGGGAAATCAGAAACCCGAGGGGCAGCACAGTCCTGAAAATAATTGTGTTCTGAGGGGGAGATTTGAAAAGAAGTATCCTCCAGTTTAACAGCCATGTTTCTGTTACATTGTGACCATCTTTCTCTCTTTGGAGGTCTGCTCCCTCTTCCATTTCCTAACTGGACATTAAGTTTAAAAAATTTTTTGTTTAGCGGTTAAACAAGAAACAAAAAACCAGACATGATACTATTTCAGTTAAAACTGAAAGTTTAATGAAAGCACCAAAAATTATGTTAAAGATGAGGATTAAAAACTAGGTATTTGGAAGATATATAAAACAAATTACTATTATTTTTATACATTAAATAAATCAAAAGGTACAAAACCGTAAAATGCCAACATATATAAGGAAAGCGTTAACAGTCCTTTCAGTGACTTACCATATAAGATGTTTTTAAAGTGCTACAGTCTGAGCACTGTATTTAAAAGTTTAAGGAACATCTGATTTCAACAAAATCTCACAGAACAGGTTTTTGCTTTTTTTTTTTTTTTTTTTCCTGAAGTAAGCTACAAACTGCTTGGTTAGGAATGTTGAAAATGTATGTATAAATTAAGGAGTAATGAACTTGCTAATGCCAAATTATTAGTGCAATTCAAACGCATATAAAATTCCAGATGAGGAACAAACTGTCCTGCTCAAGATACAGTGTAACCACACATGCATCATCTCGTCACAAATCTAGACCACAACTGCTCTGTTCGCTCACAATTCCTGGACAATCTGTTTGTTTTGTTGTGTTTTGTTGTTGTTGTTTGTTTGTTTTTAGCTGACAAAAGTCCTCAAGGCACCTAGAGATTTGCCTAGACTTCATCCATCTGCACTGAAAACACCGAGCAGACTCCCATGGCTCAGGAGGCAGCAGTACAGAGTAGTGGTTGGGACAGAACTCTCCAGTCACAAGGACTCATAGGTCTGAAATGAACAGCGGGACCTTCTAACTAGGTACCTTCACTTGGCTGACGCTCAGCTCTATCAGCTACAAAATAATGTCATCTCACTAGAGTTTCTGTAAGAATTATGCAGGCCTACAAGGAAAGTCCCAAGTGTGGTGCCAGCAGGAGGGAAGGCTCCAAACTGTGGGTGAGCGTCTTAGGATCGTGGTTACTTCTCTGTCAGGAGGGGCTACAGGAGTATCCAGGAGAGCGCTGGCCATTCTTCGGAGCATGCCCTCGCTGGGGAAATACTGGCAGAGGAGGCAGGTTTATTCTTCCTGGTTCAGGTGTGCTCAGAATCTTAGCATCCTGGCTGGAAGGTGGGAAAAGGCCAACAGCTCCCTCATCATTGTGATAACCAAAGATGCCCTTACACATTTCCAAGTACCCCCTGAAAGAGGTCAGTGTCTTTTTTGAGAACCACTCTTCTGAAGGGACCGTCCTTATTAAGGAGTGATGCAGTTCTCTTAACCAGATTCAGAATGCCTCTGTGTCTCTGAGAAGTACTAAGGTGAGACAGACAAAGCCCCGTGGAAGGAAGAACAAGAAAGGCATATTTGGCACAGTCTGTATCCTTCCCCGAAGAATCCCGGTATCACAATTCCCAAGCTCACTATTCAGGGCTCAGGTGGAAAGGTAGAGCTATATCCCCTCAAACAACTCAGCAGAGAGCAACTCGGCACTGTGAAGCCACCTCTTTCGCCAGTAGTTGAAACAGAAGGCAGACATACACATCCAAACAGCCCTTCCTCTCCATACCCGATAAGGGCACTTGAGTCCATGTCTACAAAATGTAAAAAACTAAATCACAAATGAAAAGACAACAGTAACAAAACAAGCCTCCCCCTTCCCAGGACTGACAGAGGATCTGTGGGGAGAAAAGCTCTAACTCATCATGACCGAAACCCACATCCTTCTCTGGCAAAGTATTCAGGTCAGAACCCCGCTTTCGTGTTGTCACAGGTCTGAAGATGGAGGGTCTTCCTTCAGCTTCTGAATTCGTTCTTCGGTACTTAACAGTGTTTTGGTGATGTCGGGAAAGACACGTGGCATTCGACCTTCCTTAGGGGTGAGGAGGGAGAGAAGGCACGTTTTCTTTACCTCGTTGGATGCATGAATGACTGAGGCACTGAGTGATGAGAAGGAATGTTCACTGGTGGAAGGGGAACAAATCCGGATCTCCTGCTTCCCGACCCAGCACCCGAGTCCCCATCCCCTAAGTCACAGATGTGGGTTACTCAAGTGACAGAAGCACCCTGCTGAGGGATGGTCCAAGATGATGCAAGCTCTACCCACGTTCTGGTCTCCCTCTCGTCCGAGCCTGACCCGAGGCCACTGCGTTGCTGGGTCTATCGTCAACTGCAGAAGGAAGAATCTGTTGAGGAGGAAATGTATTTACATTCTCTTCTTGGGCAAGTTCTTTATCTCTTTGAAACGATTACATTAAATGGGTGTGGGGCTAGAGTCAGACCGTATCTTCCAGTCAGGATGGGTTTCTTAGAATCCTTGGGTAAAGTGAAGGTGAAACTCTGCATTAGGCTCACGAACATCAGAAACAATTCCATCTTTGCCAGTTGTTCTCCCATACATACCCGCTTCCCTAAAAATGAAATCAGAAGAAAAAGCTGGGATTAGAATACCCCCGCTCTTCCTATCTCGAGAAGAGCAATTTTATATATCTCAAGTAAGTGTTTTATATGCAGACATAGAGAGTTTTAAAATAAAATGGCCACATATACCTCATGGCTTCCCAGAGAATATGCTGCTCAGAATTTTTTTGTACTTAGTTCACATTTTAATTCCTGCTCATGAAAACCTATCCTCATTCTAGACGGGAACTAGAGACAGATCCAGGCTACTCTGTCTCCTTCAGACCTACTTTATCTCTTTCCTTTGCTCTAACCTGGAAGATTAAAGAGAGAACGAGTCAGAAGAGACTCTCTGGAGCATTCCTCTTTTCTAGACAGAATCCTGCATGTGCCCATCCAGGTGTCTAAAAGAGGGACTGGTGAGATTCCAGAACCCAGCCTCTCAGCCACCAGTCCAGCAGAAGGTAACAAGATGCTCTTAACACCAACAGTTTCTTGGGACTCAAATAATCACTGAGACAACTCAGAAAGGGAGATTTTTAGTCATGTTTAAGGATTTAATGCCAATTGCTTTCATTTTGTTTTTAAAATCCGAGATAAATATAGTAGGGCTGTACTATCTTGGTTATTTACCTCTTCTCTTACATTTGTTTGCTAAGAAAGAAGTATTTTTGGGGGCGCCTGAGTGGCTCAATCATTAGGCGTCTGCCCTCAGCTCAGGTCATGATCCTGGGGTCCTGGGATTGATCCCTGCATTGGGCTCCCTGTTCCATGGGAAGCCTGCTTCTCCCTCTCCTACTCCCCCTGCTTGTGTTTCCTCTCTTGCTGTGTCTCTGTCAAATAAATAAAATCTTAGAAAAGAAATATTTTTAAAGATTTTACTTATTTATTTTAGAGAGAGAGAGAGAGAGCATGAGTGGGGGGAGAGGGAGAGACAATCTCAAGCAGACTCTGTGCTGACTGAGCTCAAGCCCAACACGTGGCTCCATCTCACAGCCCCGAGATCGTGACCTGAGCCGAAATCAAGAGTTGGATGCTTAACCGACTGAGCCATCCAGGCTCCCCAAGAAAGAATTATTTTTAAAACACTATCATGAAATGACAAAAGATTCTTTTAGTTCTACCTCTTTAATTATGCCATTAAGAAAATAAAAGTTGAACTGACCTATTCCAAAAGGAATAAATGTTTCTCTTTTAATAAGTTGTCCTTGATCATCCAGAAATCGATTAGGGCAGAAATCGTCTGGTTTCTCCCAAATGGCTGGGTCTCTGTGCACTGACCACAAGTTGGGTAATATCACTGTGCCTTTAGGAATGGTATATCCTTGGAGCACTAAAACAAACAAACAAAAAAAACCCAGTGTCATGCAACACGTTCTTACTAATAGTTCTCCCTGAACATCACTATCTGGAAAAAAAAAAATCCACTTACATACCTAGCTACTTAACTTGTGGAGACTAAACACTGAGGTGCTGGAGGGTAGGGGCCAGACCTTAACAACTGGCATCCTCGCCACATGCTCCCAGGACCTAGACCGAGGTAAGGCACAGGAGTTGCTCTAACAGATGTTGAGTTAATGAATTAAATCAAACCAAACCCGAAAAACATTATAAATAATAGAAAACACTGAAACAGAAATCATAGGGCATTCCAGATAAACTTTCCAAAGAATTACAAATTTTATGACACTAAAAAAAAAAAAAATCATAAGAGAAAATATATTTATAATACTGTAGGGTAAAATATTTGCATGTAAGAGGACCCACATGGTTCAAACTCATGCTGTTCAAGAGTCAACTGTATTTTATGGTAGTAAATGATAAATTATATCTACATATATGGTTTATACATTCATGATATACCTTTTTCTTAATTTCTTCGATATTTCTAGGCTACACAGTTCATCCTGTGAATTTTTTCAAATCGTCACAAATCTCCAAAAATTTTTCCAATATTTTTATTGAGAAAAGTCTGCATATAAGTGGACCCATGAAGTTGACACTGTGTTGTCCAAGGGTCAGCTGTACAGGGAAGTCAATGCAGGCTTAGCAGCTGACAAGTTCATATGCATGCCCAATGTATCAACTTGAAAACATGAAGTGATCCAATGTCATTTATATGGTATTGACTCCTACACCTGCCTTATGACTATATTATATATATATATATAAAATATGACTATATTATATATATCACATATATGATATATATATTAATATATATATATTTTACATCCCAGCCTGTCTCCAGAGGAGGTAAGTTCCTTCTTATAAGGGAGTTTACATAGAATCTGGGTCCTTACGTGTCAACAACATGACAAAATGGACCCATTTCAGTGTAGGTGAGAAGTTGAAACAGGTGCCCTTAGAATCAGAAGGGCTCTTCTAAGTCTTTAATATTTGTGCTTTGGTTGTAGAGCCGTAAAAGGTAAAGTAGGATAATTCCCAGTTAAAAACCTTAATTTCACATATAGACTAGCTTTTCTGATCCTCCAAGAAGACTGAGAGGGGCCTGTGTTAACTTGGGTGTTTCTCCTGCCCATACAGCCATCTTAGATGCAGCAGAACATGTTTGACAGCGTGAGTGTGCGTGCTCTGACCTCCGGAGAGCTGTTTGTAAGACAAGCTGGACAGGACCACCAGGACCTGAATAACCGACAGCTGAAGGCCGGAGCTCTCCCTGGTAAGCTGGATAACCTTTGCTTATCCACGACACGATGTTCAACCTTCAGAATGGTCCACACCCCATCACTTCAACTCCTTTGGATTAAGAGCCTGGGCTTCCCTCAAGGGCACTCAAAGGAGAGGGATCACAGACTTGCCTGTTTTCTCCGAGGTCATGTGAGGAATGGCGAGGGGCACCACCACCGTCAGCCTCTGCACCTCCATGATGGTGGCTTCCGTGTAGGGCATTTGGGCCTTGTCAGTGAGGGAAGGGATTCTGTTAGCACCAATGACCCTTTCAATTTCTTCCTGAACTTTTTCTATTATAAAAACAAAAAACAAAACAAAACAAAATTAAACAATAACAAATAATAATCCAGAAGATAAGCCAGGAGAACTGAGACTGCCATCCTACGCATACTTGCCGTCACGTCATACCCACAACTGCTAAGCGGGCAGGTCAGATCTGACTCAGCCTTGGGGAGGGAAGCATTGGTCACACATTCCAAGTAGAGGCAGCTGGTCCCAGGGACCAGGTACCACCTTGCGACTTTGAAAAGTGGCTAGCAGGACAGATAGATGGGTAAAGGAGAAAGCATTCTGGAATTAGGGAGACCTCTCAATCATTCCCTCATATGAATAGTGAGCGGACTCTCTCAGCTCTTATGTGACAACATGAGGTAGCCCAGCGTGGGCCCCAGGGATCCCTGCCTCTCGGTTTCACATCCTTGTACGGTCCTCTCCCACCATCCTCTCCCACCTTGTACCACGGTGGTCTGTGTGACACACAGAATGAAGGAAAAGTGATGGCGGGTCAGTTCTGAGCTTAGCTTATAAAAGACATGGTGGCCCCTGTCTCAGGACTTGCTCTCTTTTGAGGGAAGGCATCTGCCAAGTCAGGCAGCCTAACTGGAAAGTCGTAATGGTAAGGCCTGCAGCCAACAGTCCAGTGGACACGCTGTCTTAGAAGTGGACCCTTTGGTCCCAGTCAGGCCTGCAGATGGCTGCAGCTCCAGCCAACATCTCGACAAGAAATCCTAAGCCAGACCACCTGGGTGAAGATGCCCTTGGATTCCTGACCCCCAGAAACTATGAGAGATAGTACATGGTGGTTGTTTCAAGCTGCCAAATTTGGGGATAATTTGGTACTTGTAAACTTGTTAACAAGTTTGTTTGTTTGTTTACTTGTTAACTAATGAAGTAAGCATGATCTTATTCATAATAAACAGAAGATGGCCCCACAGCGATGTCCACACCCCAACCCCCCAGAACCTAGGAAAATGCTACTTTTTATGTGGCAAAAAAGAGACCTTGCAGGTGTGATTTGATTAAGGGCCTTGAGATGGGCAGACGACCCTGGATTTTCTGGGTGTGCACTAATTACATTGGTTTTAAAACCGAAGAACTTTTCCCAGTTTAGTGTCAGAGGGAGATCTGAGTAAAAGGAAATGCTCAGAAGAGTGGTAACATCTCTGGCTTTGAAGATGGAGGAAGGGAGCCAGGAGCCAAGGAAGTTGGAAATGGAACCTTCTCCAGAACCTCCAGGAAGGAATGCTGCCCCACTAACATTTTGATGTTAGCTCAGTGAGACACAGACCTTTAAGATAATAAATTCATGTTCATTTAAATCACTAAGTTTGTGGTGATTTGTTATAGGACAACAGAAAAGCAATGCACTGTCCTCCTTGTTGGTCTTCCACTGTGAACTTCCAGACTCTACCTATCAGTATTGATGTGGTCAAAATAGCTCTGTGATCTTGAGAAAGTCACATAACTTCTCTGGGTCCCTGGTCCCCATTTTCAGAACAAGATGACTGGTTCAGATAATCACTGTAACTCTCGTTAGCCCTGGATGGTCTTTCTTTTCTAAAAGTCTTCCACTAGTATACATTTCACACCCAACAAGACCTTAGAGATTTATAGCAGGGGCAAGAAGATAGGACATTGGCCCCACTGTCTAGAAACTTGGGAGCTGCACTGTTAACACCTTCCCAACTCCCCATGGGATTCGAGTATTTCCACTTTGTTTACCAGCCTGAAGACACTGCTCAGTGCCAGGAGCTACAGGATCGCCCAAGCTGCTGACACTGATTTAAATACTCTGGCTTTGCTTGAATGAAGGAGGTACAGGTTAATTACCTTGTACATCGGGGTTCAGTGACATATACAGAAGGCACCAAAGCAAGGAGTTAGTTGTGGTATCAGTCCCAGCAATGAAGAGATCACCAATGATATAAAATAAGTAATCTTCATTAAAGCTACTGTTGCTGTTATTTTTTCTCTCCTCCTCCACGTGGAGAAGGTACATGTCTATGAAGTCCTGAGGGTTCTCTACATCCAGAGACTCTCGATGGTCTTTGATGATTTTTTTAAGGAAAGTGGTAATATCCTTTTCAATTTGTCTTAATTCCTTAAATGGTCCGAAGGGAAGATAATAAAGCCAGGGGCATATGTTGACCAGGAGGAGCTGGGTGTTCAGACAGATTTCTAGTGCTCGTGACATGAGATTGAGCGTCTTCTTAAACTCGCTATTGGTGTAGTCAAAGCGCCGGCCAAAGCACAGGGAGCAAATGATGTTAGAGACGGCATTGTTGACGACGGGGAAAGGGTCAAAGGGGTCTTCTCCGTGCTTCTGCATTTCCTCTTTCACATACCGAAACTCTTCAATAATCCTGGGCTCCAAGCTCAGCTTTCCCAAGCCAAAATGACGAAGGGTTGAATGGGAGAACTTCCTCTGTTGTCTCCACTCCGGACCGTAATGTGCGAACACAATCCCTACAGAAGGACAGCGAGAAAGAAGGTGAGAGAGAACAGCCTGATCCCACCAAGCAGGGCCCACAATGAGGCGTGTGCGGTGTTCGTCAAGTATCCCTTGTGCGAAATTCAGCCACAGGGAGAGATCACCAGCCAAAAAGGATGATTAGCAAAACTGAATTATCAAGACAGTACATGTTCCTCATAATAAAAATCACATCCAATAAGGCGTATTATGATAGGTAGGAACTCCCGGGGAAATGAAAAGCAAAGAATTTCAATTGCCAGAGTTGGCATACATTTCCAAATCTTGGGCTTCATTAAGAGTAAATCCAATGGGGCGCCTGGGTGGCTCAGTGGGTTAAGCCGCTGCCTTCGGCTCGGGTCATGGTCTCAGGGTCCTGGGATCGAGTCCCGCGTCGGGCTCTCTGCTCAGCGGGGAGCCTGCTTCCTCCTCTCTCTCTCTCTCTCTCTCTGCCTGCCTCTCTGTCTACTTGTGATCTCTCTCGGTCAAATAAATAAATAAAATCTTAAAAAAAAAAAAAAAGAGTAAATCCAAGCTTAAGTGCTTCAGGCTGGATATTCCCCTATTCTGAACAGAATGAGGCAGGGTCGTTACTGGATTGTGCCGACCATTAAGATCCCAGGTTTTGGCATCATTTGGGGGATATAGGAGGAACTTGTTAAATATTAACTGAAAAAATCAACAGCCCAACTGGATTTTAAACCCTGGCTATCACTTTGCATCCGGATAACTGGCAGGTACTCTAAAATGTCTGTTGCTGGCAATAGCCCTAATTTAAAAACCTCTGAACTCAAGGTCTCCACAACTCTACCTTATTTGATCCTCACTTACGTTATACATGTCCCACCACCAAGCCCAGCGTCGTTCCAAGATGTTGTGTCAAATTGTTTTCAAATATTCGCTTCCCATCACCTATTTCACCCTCTTATTTTCCATGGGCCCTTTATTGTTCCAGCTGGTTCTCCTTTCCCATTTTTTTTTTTTAAAAGACTATCTATTCATGACAGAAGGAGACAGGGAGAGAGGGAGCACAAGCAGGAGTATGAGAGGGAGAAGGAGGCCTCCCGCTGAGCAGGCAGCCTGACATGGGGCTCGATCCCAGGACCCTGGGATCCTGACTTGAGCTGAGAACAGATGCTTAATGACTGAGCCACCCAAGTGCCCCTCTCCTTTCCCATTTTTAATCGACATCATTTCTGGTACTTTTGAAGACATGCTTCACATATTTAACAAATATTTCTGAATGCTGACTGTGTGCCCGGCACTGGGATGTTGTAAATATAGACTCTTCTCTGTGGTTAAATCTCACAGTCTTGAACACCTCCATAAAATGCTCTTCAAAATAGACATCCATGTGGTCAAACAAATCAGACAATCTATCAACTCAGCTTTTCTCCTTGGACTCTGGCACATATCTGCTCAAATCCACAGCAGCTGCCTTCCCAGATCTTCTGTTCAGGTGTCTGGTGACTTCTGTGTGGCATTATTTAGGACTTTTCTTAGACTCTCCTGTGTTGAACCAATTTCCCGGATTTTACTTCTTCCTCTTTCTTGTTTCTTTCCCTGAATTTGCTAAAGCAAAAATGCATGGAAGGCAAATTTCTAAGATTTTTTAAAAAACATTTATTTTACCTCTTCTACTTCCTCAGAATTTCAAAGACATTGCTAAGAGTGGCTTGATGAGTCTTCGATGTACAGAAGACTTGCCAAGTTATAATATGAAGTGCTTAATGCATATTGTCTTAATCACTGTTACTTTTTTAAGATACAAATAAAACTTCATAGTAAGTCTTAACATATAATAGGAAACCCCCCTTCTTGTTTTCTTTCAAAACTATTTTTTAAATTATTATTATTATTGGCTCTTCACTCTTTTATAAAACTTTGAAGTCAGTTTTTTTCAAGTTCTATTAAAAAAAACTTTGGGGATTTTCACTGGAATTGTATTTAATTTATAGACTTGAAAACTGCTTTCTTTCTGATAATTGAAGCTGCTTGCAGTGCAAGAATAAATCCAATTTTGGTTACGGTTTTATTTTGGTTTTAATTGTTGGATTTGATTTCCTAATATATTTTTAAAAGATTTATTTATTTATTTTAGAGAGCAAGAGTAGTAGCAGCAGAGGGAGAGGGAGAGAAAATCCAAAGCAGACTCCAAGCCGAGTGTGGAGCCCAATGCAGAGCTCCATCTCACAACCCTGAGATCATGACCTGAGCTGAAACCAAGAGTGAGATGCTTAACCGACTGTGCCACCAGGGCCCCCCCCCGCATATTTTTTTCATGGCCAATAAATTTCCACTCTCATAATACACTTGTCTGAAGATACTGGCCTCCTGAAATGAGCCAGTGTATACTCTTTCTCTCTGGAAGAATCTGTCTAAAATTATAATGATACATTCCTTTTTTTTTTTTTCTTTCATGCTTTTATTCTTTTCCAGATATATAAAGTTGGTCATCTAACTCACTAGTTTTCAGACCTTTATCCCAATAAATAACTTAAGAATCTACGTTTGCCTCTGAGTACCACATAAGCTACAGTCCACAAGTATTGTTTGTATGCATTTTCATTATAATCGTGTTTAAAAATTTTTTGTTATAATTTTTTTGCTACCTAAGTTTATTTGTCTTATACTGATTTTTGGCACTAATGAGGCTTGCTTTTTAGCCTAGTATGTGATCAATTTTAATAAAATTTCCAATAAAATTGAGAAGAATTTTTATCTAAATCACTTGTTGGATACAGGGTTCTTTATATGTCTAGTAGAAACCTGATAAATGTTGGAATCCAATCTTTTGTATCCTTAGCAAATTTTTATCTTCCTGCTCTCTCAATTATTCAAATACTAATGTTATGAACAGAATGAGGCAGGGTCGTTACTGGATTGTGCCGACCATTAAGATCCCAGGTTAATGTTAAAGTATTTTGGTATAATGGTACATTTACCAACTTCTCTTTGCAATTCTGCAAGTTTTGCTACAGAATTCTGCTATGTAGTTCTTTATAACTACATATCTATCTTTTCTCTTAGGTATATATATACTGTTAGGTACATGCAAGTTTAAAATTATTATATATTCCTGGTTTAATAAAAAGCTTCTTTTATCACCATTTAATTCACTACTTCTTAACAATGAAGTTTGGCTTGAAATATATATTGTCAAAAGTATATGTAAGGTAAATATTGTCAAAAAGACATCAGCTTTTCTTTTTAAAGTATTATCTCAGTATAACACTTTCCTTTCTTTTATTTTGAATTTTAATGTACCCTTATGTTTGGGATATGTCTCTTTTAAAATAGCATACAATTGGGGGCACCTGGGTGGGTCAGTCAGTTTCAGCTTGGTTTTGGCTCAGGTTGTGATCTCATGGGTCACTGAGATCAGCAGGGTCAGCCTCCAGACTCAGTGGGATTCTGCCTGGGGATTCTCTCTCTCTGCTCCTCCCCCCTGTGCACATTCTCATGCATGTTCTCTCTAAAAAATAAGTAATCTTTTAAAAAATTTATTAATATTACATTTGGGTTTTTAAAAAATCCATTCTAACAAAAATATCCATTCTAGCAATCTCTTAGCCAGTCAATTTTCCATTTACATTTAATATAATTACCAATTTATTTCTAATATACTATTTTGAACTTTGTCCTACTGTATCTGTTCTTCTCCTTTTCTTCTCTTGCTCTTTTCTGACTTAGAGAAACAGAGTGAATCCTCACCCTCAAATTTTTAACACATTTACTTAAAGTCTGGATTAACAATCAGCAAACTTCAGCACACAGGGCAAATCCAGCCTGCTGCCTCTTTTTATAGTCATATATATATATAGTCAACAAAGATTAGTTTTTGCTTTTTAAATGGTTGGAAAAAAAATCAAAACAATATGTCATGGGGGCGCCTGGGTGGCTCAGTGGGTTAAAGCCTCTGCCTTCGGCTCAGGTCATGATCCCAGGGTCCTGAGATTGAGCCCCACGTCGGGGGAGCTCAATCTCCTCTTGAGATCACCTGCTTCCTCCTCTCTCTCTCTCTGCCTGCCTCTCTGCCTACTTGTGATCTCTGTCTGTCAAATAAATAAATAAAAATCTTTAAAAAAATATAAAAAAAAACAATATGTCATAATATACGAAACACATGACATTCACATTTCAGGGTCTATAAATAAAGGTTACTAGAGAACAGCCAGTTAATGAGCCACTGTACTTCAGTTACATGTAGTCTGTGGCTCTTTTGCACTAAAATGGCAGGGTACTTGCAGCAGGGATTGTTGGTAGGAGAGAACACTTTCTCTGCCAGGGCCCAAGCCAAGACAGACACATTTCCCTGTTTTCTTGTGCTGGTGGCCAGGTTTGTCAGGTGTTCTTTGTCAAATTCAATCTTTCACGCAAAGTGAAACTCTTCAAGAGTCCTCTCTTTTATCTAGAGGCAACTTTTCATCTTGTGTAATAGAAGGTCATATCTCTCTGCCCTCACTCCACTTAGTCCACATCCTTGTCCAAGGGTTCACTAAAACCTAAGAGTGCCCAGAGCATTTGCTTTCTGTTTTCTGAGGGAGTAGGTGTGGTGATAAGGAACTGGTCTAGCTATATTTTATATGCACTTCAAACTCAGTGGCTCATCCCTGTCCCCTATAATCACTGGACCTCCAATTCCTGAGACTTTCTGGTGTTCTGCAGGGTAAACTGTCTCACCCTCCACTAGTACACTCCTCTGCCCCATGTAGACACTTAGGGAGTGGTCGTCCTTCACTCTATGAAGTCATTGGCAAATCCTAGGTCTACTTTTTATCTTCAAATGTTGTGGTGCAGGATGATAGATTCACTTCACCATGGACAGAGTGTGTGCTTCTGTTAAAAGTCCCTCTGTTTTGGTGTGTGATTATCAAGACAAAGAAGAAATGGAAATGTCTTAACCATTCCTGACACTAAAATTCTCCCTTTATTCAATTAAGCCCCATAAACTATTTCCTAGGCAACTACAGCTTAGTCACTCTTCCTGCAATTA